AGACCCATCTCTACTAAAAAAATAGAAAGAAATTAGCTGGACAACTAAAAATATATAGAAAAAATTAAGTGGCGCATGCCTATAGTCCGAGCTACTTCGAAAGCTGAGGCAGTAGGATTGCTAGAGCCCAGGAGTTTGACGTTGCTGTGAGCTAGGCTGACACCACAGCACTCTAGCCTGGGCAGTAGAGTGAGACTCTGTCTCAAAAAAAAAAAAACCAAAACAAAACATATCTCATCTATAACCCAGGGGCCACCTGTATATATACATAAAAAGAAGATATACAACAAATTCTCCTTCATATGAGAAACTTAGTTTTGCAGGAAAAAAATTCTAAGCTGGGCATTATTCTGTTTGAGAAGACTGAGAATGGGGCCCCAGTCCCTTCTGGCTTTTAAAGTCTCAGTTGAGAAGTCTGCAGTTAGTCTGATGGGTTTTCCTTTGTAGATTACCTGCTGCTTTCATCTTGTGGCTTGTAGGAGGGCCTCTTTCGTGTTTATTTTGGCCAGTCTGATGACTATATGTCGTGGTGTTTTCCTCTTTGTGATGAATCTCACAGGAGTCCTTTGAGCTTCTTGTACATGGATATCTGGATGTCTAGCAAGGCCAGGGAAATTTTCCTCAATTATTTTCCCTCAAATAGATTATCCAATCCTTGTTATTTTCTTCTTCACCGTCAGGGATGCCTATGATTCTCATGTTAGGCCTCTTTACATAATCTCATATTTCTTGTAGGCTTTGCTCTTTTCTTTTATTTTTCTGCTTTATCTCTGCTACTGACTTGTTTAATTGAAAGGTGTTGTCTTCAATCTCTGAGATTGTTTCTTCTGCTTGATCTAAACTGTTTCAAGACTTTCCACTATGTTTTGTAATTCCTTGAATAAATTTTTCATTTCTAGAAGTTCTGTTTGATTTTTCTTTAGTATTTAAATTTCTTTAGTAAATTTTTTATTCATTTCCTGCATTTTTTTGTGTGTGGTTTCTTTGTGTTGGGTATCCATTTTATCCTGCATTTCATTGACTTTCCTTACAATCCATGTTTGAAGAATTTTCATCTGTCATTTCGGTGTTCTGATTTTGGTTGGTATCCATTGCTAGAGAGCTGTTTCCCTTTTGGGGGTGTCCTTTTGCTTTGATTCTTCATATTTCTGGAGTTCTTTCACTGATTCCTTCCCATCTGGAGCAGCTGTTGCTTCTTACCTTTGGATTTTCTTTTCTAAAATATAGAATTATTTTGTAAGATTTTCTCCAACACCTCCAAAAAATCCCTTGACTTTTTTTATATTACCTTAATACATTAATCTAGGAAGAATTGAGAGCTTTTCAATATTCAATAGTTTTCTTATCAAAGAAGGTAGTATTTGAGGTCAAGTGTTTTATTATAACTTAGTCAAGATTTTTGGTTTTTTTCAGACAAATATTCCTATTCCTTGTCAAAGTTGTTTCTTTGTATTAATATTTTGGGCCTTTTGTAATTCCATTTTCTAATTTATTGTGTCTGCTATGTGTTTTAACATTCATCTGGACATTCATTTTTAATTATTGCTATTTAAACCTTGGGGTTTTTTAAGCGTACAGTACTATCTAAAATAAGGATCATTGTGTCAGCCTCTTCCAAGAGTCCACTCACACCACTACGCCTGGCTAGAGGCTGTGTTTTGTAACAGCCTCATTTAAAGAAAATAAAAAGAAACAAATGATATTATTTTAATGTAAGGTACTGAATCAATATATATAATATAATTTTAATATGCAATATCAGTGAGATATTTTCCTTTTTGTTGCATTAAGTCTTTGAAATCTTGTCTGTAGTTTACATTACAGTTCAGCAAACTGGGCCTCAGTAGCTTCCTGAGCCAGTGGGTGCCGTGCAGGACAGTGCTGTCCCTCAGGAGGCCATTGGGGGGCTGAACAAGGCCCTGAACAAGGGAGGAGGGAGGAGGTGGATGAGGGTGTGGACAGAGTTGTTAGGGTTGTCGTCATTAGGGCACAGAGAGGGTGGGGTAGAGTGGAAGAGAAGAAGAGATGTGAGGGGGCATTTAAGGTCCAGTGACAATAGCATAGGATCCCTTGCTTCTGTCATTGAATGTTCTGGAAGAGCCCTATCAGCTATAGGGATGGCAGTTAGCACACTGTCCCTGTTCCTTGTCCTCCTGCTGCATCACCAAGAACAAAACACTTACTGTCAGTGGGGTCAGCGCCATTTGCTGGAACCAGCAGCCTCCTCCCCTGAGAACCTTCAGCTCCTGTGGGGCCCTGTAACACACAGCGGGGAACGCTCTTGGTCAGAGTCAGGAATCCTGGATTCCAGTGCAGCCCTGACAGCCAGCCAGCTGTGAAACCTGCAGCATGTCACTTTCAGAACAATGTTCTGCCATCAAGACAGGAAAGAAAGCACCCCACCCTCTCTGTGCCCTAATGACGACAACCCTAACAACTCTGTCCACACCCTCATCCACCTCCTCCCTCCTCCCTTGTTCAGGGCCTTTTTCAGCCCCCCAATGGCCTCCTGAGGGACAGCACTGTTCTGCACGGCACCCACTGGCTCAGGAAGCTACTGAGGCCCAGTTTGCTGAACTGTAGTGTAAACTACAGACAGGATTTCAAAGACTTAATGCAAAAAAAAGGAAAATATCTCACTGATATTGCATATTAAAATTATATTATATATATTGATTCAGTACCTTACATTAAAATAATATCATTTGTTTCTTTTTATTTTCTTTAAATGAGGCTGTTACAAAACACAGCCTCTGGCCAGGCGTAGTGGTGTGAGCCTGTAGTCCCAGCTACTTGTGAGGCTGAGACAGGAGGATGGCTTGAGCCCAGGAGTTGGAGGTTGCAGCGAGCTATGATGACACCACTGCACTCTAGTTCGGGCAACAAGAGTGAGACCTCTCTCAAGAAAAAGAAAAAAATAAAACACAGCCTTGTATTCCTGGCCACCCTCTGTCCCTAAGGACGGTGGTGTGTAGCATGTTGCACACACATCTCACTTAATCCCTGCATAGGCTTGGGCTGGGTAGGGTTGCTCCGTTTTAAGGTTCACTTCTTGCTCAGAGTCTGTTGCCCCACCTGGCCCTGCCCCAGTGCTAGGGAGTGAGGCTGAGCTAGGTGTGAACCAGAGACTCTCCTAGCACAGGCCCTGGGCTTTCCACAGATACAGGCCTGGCTGCCCTGGGACCTGCTCCCATGACAAGTGCAACCCAAGCAGCTTCCCTTTTCTGAGCCCCCGCTGCACCCATTCTTTGTCCCACCCTCTGGCTTGTACCCCACATTGTTTTCTGCCTCCACAACATCCCTCCATCGTCCCCAGGGGGGCTACCAGCCCTGCCCTAGGGCAGCATTCTCTGGTGACCTTGACTCCCCCACAGCACCCTGGGTGTAGGTGGGGCCCTGGCAATGCGGGCTGGTTCTCTGTGGATGGGGAGCAGGTCAGGACACAGGAGCAGCAGGTCCCCCTGCAGGAGAGCCCTGTAGGTTCTATCCTTGGGTTCTAGGCCTGATGCAGGATCCTCTGCCCTTTCTGGACTGAGTTCCAACTCATCTGACTGTCTCCATGGCTTTTCTCCATCTAGCTCTGAGGCTGTTCTTCGACTACTTTCCAGCCGTCGTGCCCTTTAACTCCTGGAATCCACTCATGAGACTGATGGGCCTGACAGACAATGACATCCACGTGGCCAGAGCCTGTGCCTCCAGCCCAGAAGACACCTTGTATGAAATGCTAGTGAGATGGGTCAGCAGGACGGGGCGGGAGGCCTCGGTGCACACCCTGCTGGAGGCCCTGGACAGGCTGGGAGAAAGGCACGCAAAGGAGACCATTGAGGACCACCTGGTGGGCTCTGGGAAGTTCATCTATCTAGACGGCGGGGCAAGCTCTGCTGTGTCCTAAGTGTGAAAGAATCTCTGTAGGACTCTAGAGCTTCCCTAGTTTACCTTTTTTTTCCTAGAAAAAAATCACAGTTGGACATCAGCCTTTAGGAAATAGGCAAAAATTCCACATGACTGATACTTGAAGAAACTCTGACATGTACTATCATCCAGTGGATGAAACATCCTAGAATTTTTCTGTGGACTTGGAGTACAAATGTTAGGTAGATAGCAAGGGATTCCAGGTCTCCTAGGGACGAAAGTGGGTGCTGTTGCCTTGGTGCAATTGCCCCACCTGAGAAGAAGGACAAGCGTGGGCCCCAGGCCCCCACCTTGGTGCTGCCCCACCCTATCCTCTTCCCAGCAACTGCCATACCTGGGGGAGGAGGGAATACCCTACAAATCTGCCAATCAATTTAGCGCACCAGCTGCAAAAGATTGCGGAGGACTCTCTAGCCCATGGGCCAAGCAGCGTAAGTACCATGGCGTCCAGAAATTGGCCTAGAACAACCCACATGCATAATCTAAGACTCAGGTCATTGGCACTGGGGAACAAAAGGAAGATCAAAAGGAGGAGAAACAGTAGTAAATTTTGGAGCCAAAAGGACAACATGAAGCTTGGGAGTATAAAAAAAAAAAATAAGACTCAGGTCATGCAACTCCCAAATGTCCATGTGGTTCCATGGTGACGTCTGAGCCATAGGGCAGTCCCAATCCGGGCACTATAAAACAAGTTGTAGACCATAACCAGGCCCTTTTGGGCCCTTCCTTTTGCTCACCTTTTGTTGCAACAGTGGGTCTGTGGTCGTCATCTGTGGCGTACGTATCATGCTCTGTAAACCTATTATCTTGCTCTCACTCTATAATGCTATCTTTCTCTCAATAAAACTCATTTTTTTTTCATGCTTGCCTTACTTTGGTGCATCTGTCACTCTTCGGCCATGAGCATGTCAAGAACTGACATTTCAGACTGAAACTTGACACCATGGTTCTTTGTTTCGTATGCTTCTATGTTTGTGGGTGTATTGAATGTGTATTGTTTAGGATGTCATTCTTTTTCTGTTCACACTTTTTCTTCCCACTTTTTACTCGTGTTTGTTATATTGTAAGATCCATCCATATTAGCATGTGAGCGTTTACTTATGTCCAAGTACTGTAAGAAATACAAAGGAAAAAGAAGAAAAATCCTCCCAGTGTAAGTTCCCACTGTTTGGGCTCTAGTCCTCCCTCCCTCCTTGATTCCACTGGGCTTGGATGACTGACAACTTCTAAAGGACCGTCTTTTAAACTTGGCAATTTACAGGCATATGAATATTTATTTATTTATTTATAGGTACATGTTCATAACTGAGTCGGTACTCGAGGAGAACTATATCAGCCCCTTGCCCCTTTCTCTGAGGACTTCCTTGAAGATGTATGTAGAGTATTAGCCTTGTCATTGTTTGTCATGCTTATTCTTTTAAAGTAACCTTTGTGACAACATGAAATTGTTGGGGATTTTTTGTTTGTTGGTTGGTTTGGTTTGGTTTGATACCCAGGCCAAATAGTACATGACACGAGAGGCACTGAACACGCTATTTCCTTAGCGTTGGGTATTGTTTGGTGCTACCGTTCAGCAGAAAGTCTCTGTTGGAGTCTGTGCTGGTACTATTAAGCAATACGAGGAAGGCAATTAGATACGAAATATTCATGTATTTATGAATTCATAACCAAATTAAATGTGAAACCTTATATAAAAAGGTGTGGTTTTTGTTGTTTGTTTGGCCTTTTGGTCCCCATCCTCCCTTTCTCTGAAACAGTGCCGGGTGCGTTCTTGCTGTGTGACTCACTTTCCTCCCCTCTGTGCCTTCAGGCTTGCCCTGCACGGAGGTGTTTCCTGCTTCTGACTCTCTGGAGTGGGGACTCTCAGGCTCATGGGGACTGGAGCTGAGCCCTTCCTTCCCCTCTGTCTCCCGCCTGCCCTCCCTCTGGGCACAGGGACACCAGCCCCGCCCTGGCTCACCCGCAGCCCCCCACGTGGTTCTCTGGGCGGCACCTGGGGCTGCCGGGTTCCCGAGCACTACAGACGGGCTCTGAGAGAGCTGTCGGGAAGAGCGGTGGGCCCTTGAGGGATAAGCCGGCCCTGGCTGCTGGGGGAGTCCTGTGGCCACTCTCTTGTGGGCTCCGCCACCCTCAGCCGCCCTTCATTTGCTCTCCCCGTGCCTTTCTCGCATCCTCATCAGTGGACCCAGGTTGCTCAGCCCTGCAAGCACCTGGGAGAAATATTTCCCCTTCCCCTTGCACTTGAGGACCCGACTGTCCCTCTCACCTCTAGGTCCTGGAAGTCTGGCGTGCCCACACTGCCCCCCTTCAGCAGAGGGAAGGTGCAGGGTGCAGGGCTCCCCCGCTAAAGTTTCAGTCCTGCCCCTGTCCCTGGGCTCCGCAGCCTCGCTTGAAGCCCTGGGTGGAGCTCAGCTGCAGGGAGGCTGACCAGCCTGTAGAGGGCAGCCCACGACTGGCTTCCAAGCCACCCTGGAGGACCTGGCAGCCACAGCCTGGGAGGGTCCCGGGCTTGGACACCATGGGTTCACCTCATCGTTAGACCTGCTTGTCCTTCCACTGCCTGCTCTTTCTCTTGATGAGGATTTAACCTCAGATCTCCAAGTCTTGGCACCACCCAGCCGCTCACTGCAGGGGTTGCCTTTGCTTCGGGTTTTGCTCTATCCCAGACCTAACCAGCGTTTTGGTGGTGGAGCCCACCCCAGGTCCCTGGGACCTAGTCAGTGCCTCTCAGCTGAAGCATCTTTCTCAAGTAGGGGACTCGACCCCACGGCCTCCTGGCTCTGCCCCTTGTCAGTGGGACCCCATCTTTTAAATCTAAAAAGGGGGTGGTGTGATAAAATATGGGTCAAGGTTAGAAAACGGGAAAGGGTCAGTCGTGGCCCAGCTTTTACCCCATGGACGCTGTGAGCTACTGTTTTAACCCCCACAATCCTCAGCCCTGTCCTCTCCTCTGAACTAACCTTACATCTTCTGTTCAATTCTTCTTTTCCTTCCCTATATGCCAAACTAGCACTAACCAAGCCTCTCTGTCCTGTGACCCTACATTACTCTCCTACCCTGCCCACCCAACACACAGCAAACCCTGCGGGGGCCCACAGAAGGTGAGGATGAGTGCTTACAATCTCCAGATGAGCAAAGGCCAGGGCCCAGGGCTATCTGAGCCCGGAGACCAAGCCCCTCCCTGACACCAGCCCCTGACGTTGAGGGCCAGGACCCCGTGCTGCCCTGAGAGCCAGCCAGCAAGGTCTGGACATCCTCAGTCTGAGAAGGTGACAAGTCCTTTCCTGAAAGATATTGGAGCTGATTCTACACCCTAAACCTTCATCTCGTCATCACAGGGGGCCTCTGTTTGGCTTTATAAAAATGTAAGCTATACAGGGTCTTCTTCTGGTTTTCATTCTTTGAGGGGATAGAGGACAGAATGTGTTTGTCGGTGGTGATTTTGTTTTGTTTCATTTTCTGTTTGGGTTTTGTTTTTTGCTAATTTTGCCCCACCCCATAAAAAGCAGTGCTGCCCAGGGGCAGGGGGAGGTTCCCGGAGGGGCAGGGGGATTGCTGCCCACAGATCCTGCCCCCGCATCCTCTGAGTAGCCCAGCTGTTGCCTGTGGTCCCATCTCCAAATCTGAGGGGTGAAGGAGGGTGAGTTAGAAGGTTTTTAGTGCACTAAGAGCCGCTGCCGCCAGGCCTGGAGTGCCAAACAACCCCTAGCCCTGTCATCGGGCCTGCACCGCTGCAGCCCTGGGAGGGAGGGACACAGGCCTTTCCATTCGTGGCCTCTTGCAGCTGCACCCCAGGATGTAAAGCCCTGAGTCGGGCTCCGAAGGCTTCGTTTCTACCCTGACTTCTCCAGTGAGGATTTGAGTAGGCTCCATGTGGAAATGCCCACAAAACATGTGCAACCCTCGAGTCCATTGGTGGCAAAAACATGGCCAAGAGAGGCAGGACCCTCACGGCTCACTCCAGCTCGAGGGGAGGGCAGATGCCTCCCTGGCCAGAGCAAAGACCAAGACATCCAGCGAAGCCCTCAAGGTTGGGAGGCTCTTCCCTTTGACTCCAAGGTGCTGAACAAGCCAGAGCTTGCAGCTCCTCCTCTGCCCCATCCCCAGCAGTTGTCTTCTGTACTGCTTCGGACCTGGGGACCCCTGCAGGTGGTTCCTGTTCTGATTCCTAGGGCGGGGCTCCTCTCTGGCTGGGGAGGACAGCGCCGCCCTTAGAGTCCTGGTCCCACGGATTCCTTGTCGCCCTAAGGTGGAGGGTTGATGCAAAAGGACGGAGTGCCTGGGTGACGGGGGCAACAGCAGCAAGGTCGCAGGAGGGTGGCAGATTCTCAGACCACAGCCGAGAAGGAGGATGGAGATGCCGAGGAGGCGGTGGCTGAGGAGGACCAGGAGGAGGGACTGTTCGAGAACGGCCCCCGCTGCTTGGGCTGCCATTTCAGGTGTAGGTATTCCTCCTCACGCTCCTTCCGCCCTGCTGGTAGCGATCTTCCTTCAGGTACCAGACAGGCAGCCACCGGTGCTTCTCGAAATATTCCTAGTTTTCTGGGGCCCTTCCCATCAGGGGCCAAAGCCATCCACACCGAGATGGGGTTAGGCAGGCCCTGGGAGCTGACTTTCCCAGGTGTGTCTGCAAGCCTTGAATCTGCCATGCTTTAACTCTGCAAACTAATCTTTGGTTGGTGGTATCTCTGGCACTGCAAGGGC